CAGTGGAAAGTTTTCTGGTCCACACAGATCTTTATCAAAGTTATGTTTCATACAATGTATCTTGGTAAATTAAAAGAATGTTGCTTATCAGGGGAAATAAACTGCTAAATCATTTCTACTCTACAGGAAAGAAAAAATAAACTGATAGGAAGATAATGAAAAAGCTGTCTTAAAGTATCTGAGATTAACGGTAAACCCATATAGTTTAGAGATAATGAATCCTCCCTTTAACCAAGATGAATTGCTCATATCTCATTAAATTCCTCTGAATCTTAAAATATCCCATCTGAATGAATATTTTCTGGGGGAGAGACAGGCAACACAACAGTTAATGCAGAAGATGCAGGAGAATATAGAAACAAAGACGCAATTATAAAGTCAAGCAGAGAATCTGATCTTTAAAATTAACATTTATAACATCTGTTTGGCATGGTCCAGAGAGATTAACTTGTCTTATTTCTTTAGCAACACAGAATGGAAAAATCTGTGTACTAGTACAGGAAAAGGACCAGCAAGGGAAGGTATGCTCTGGTTTTAGAATTAAAATTTAACCTACCGGGAAGAAAACCAGCACAGAACAACAAAAACAAACGGTCAGAAAACGCTTAAAAACGTCTTGGCCAAAGAGCTGAAGAATGTGGTAAAAGAAAAGCACAATACTCACCCTACACAGTTCCTACAAACAGATGCTCCTAATTTACAGATGCTATCTGAGCTGTACAGGATCCCCTGCAACCACAGGCCACATGTTCACTCTTGCTGCCCCAATGTTAATTTGACTCTGGCTTGTGTCCTTGAGGACAAGAGCCATGTCCACTAACAGTCCATTTGGATCCCAGCAGCCTAGGCCTCTGACTGGGATCCTGGCAAATGAGAAAGAGCTGGCCAAAGTGAGCTCAGACCCAGCTGCCTGGAGGGAGCGACTTTATCTACACGAAGAACACACTCTATCAGCAACTAGTCCATTAGCCTAAACAGAATCACTTATTTAGGACCAAAAGCCCTGAATGGAGTTTCGTTTGATTTTTATAATATTCAGAAAGGTTTAGAAGTAAAAACAAAACAGTTTCCTTGCTGTGGCCACAGGACATCCTGCCATAATTCTAAGAATGACATTGTTGCTATAGCCTGGACTTACTGCCTTCTGGTCTCTTCCTCATTTATAAACCTCATTTATAAACCCCATTGAAAACCTCTGCAGTGTATCTATGTCAAGCTGATATTTCCCTTTTCTGGACAGTACAACACTGGGGATACAGTAAATACCCAACAAACACTCACAGAATGAATAAACAGACAAACTTTAATTCTACATGTGGTCAGACATTACACCTTGGTAACCTCACTGTTACCTGTTCAGGACTGTTGGCCTCTTGTCTCTAACCAAAGAAGCAGCTAGTTTGGGTGGGGTCTGTCTCAACTTTTGGGAACTCACCATTATTATCCCAATGTTTCTGGGTGTTCTAGCAGTAATGAACCATGCCACCAGCTCTCTGGAATCAAGCATAATCTTCGTTGTGTTTTGAAATGGACAATTTACATGTAAGTTAACAAGCATGATTCTTTCCATCATGGAAATGATGCTGCTGCAGTGTTAACAGAAGAGCTAACATACACTGGAGGTTTGCTATATGCTAGAGTCTGTGCCTTACAGGAATGGGTTATTAATGAGTTTATTGTTTATTTATGGTAATTCATTATTGATAATAACTCCATTAATAAGTTGAAAGCATAAACTACAGACAGTCCTGTAAAACAAATTGCTGTTAAGTCTAGCATTTGGAATTCAGTGCTTTTTCTGAGACATACTGTAGTAAGTTAATTTCCCAGGCTGCCCCAACATTTAAATGATGAGAAAATGAGAAGGGAATGTTCCAGACTGAGGGTAGGGGATGTGCTTGGTTTTATTGTTTTGGCTCTTTTATTTGGTGGTACCATTCTTAAAAAGCAGAACATCTAAGGGAGATGCTTTTCCAAATTTGTTCTTCCTCATTGCTATGTGCTTTTGCAACAGCTCAGTTCTAAAACCCCCAACCACTAGGAACAAGAACTTGGACCACCCCACTTCCTGTTACAAATGGTAGCACAGACAGCAGACTTACCACCTCAGGGACCCAGGAAGCAGCTGGGAGCAGCTGGGAAAGTCTGATCAGGGTTCCTGGAGTGCAGGACAGGCTGAAGGCCTAATTCTCACAGGGAGGGCCAGGGCTCCACATGGTGCCCAGGATTTACTGGATGGAAATACTAGGTAAAGCTCCACAATAAAACTTTCCTCCTTCTCCTCTTTTGCTTTTCTTCAACTCATCTTTGCCCTTTTTTTAGTTTCTATGTTGAAGTATACTTAAATTTGAATGAAAAAAATCAAAATCAATATAGGTTCAGAGCCAAGTAGCTCACTAAAACTAGATGGATTACAGCATGGATTCAGAAGGTTTAGGTCAAAGATCAAGCCTGTGTTGCACACAACAGCAGAATTCACATTAAGCTACAGGAACAATGAGATGTAGAGTGTGTGAGCAGTGTGAACACACACATATCAAGGACAACATCTTAAATATGAGACAGGGCCCAAGCTGGGCTTCCCCTCTCTTTTTAAAAATATTTTTAAATTATTTTTATTTTATGTGTATGAGCATATTGCCTGCATGTATGTAAGTGGGCTCATGTGGTACAGTGCCCTTGGAGAGCAGAAGAAGGTGTTGAATTTCTCTGGAACTGGAGTGATGGACGGTTGTTAGCCACCATGTGGGTGCTGGGAATTGAATCTGGATCCTCTGCAAGAGCCATCGCTCCAGTCCCCAGCTTCCTCTCTTGAGGATCTGCACAATGATTTGGTTCCCCAGGCACACAGCACCAGGAAGATACTTTTCTGTCTTTGCACACACTTATGTGATTGATTGTGTTTCTTTGCACTGGCTAAAAGGAAACCTAAGAATTCAACTTTCTGACCAGTACTAGGAAAATGAATAAAACTGTATGATTCCGACTTCTAGCTTCATCTTTTCTCTAGCTCTTTTCTTTTTTAAACATTTTTATTTATTATTTTTATTTTATGTGTATGCCTGTATTGCCTGCATGTAGGTAAGTGCACCCGTGTCACGTCGTGCAATGCCCACGGAGGATAGAAGAGGTTGTCAGATTCCCCTGGAACTGGAGTTATGGACAGTTGTTAGCTGCCATGTGGATACTGGGATTTGAACCCAGGTATTCTGTAAGAACAGCCAGTGTTCTTAACCTCTGAGCCATCTCTCCAGCCTCTCTTTTCTCTAGCTCTTTATTTCCTCTTCCTAATTCCAGTTTTCAAGCAAAAAGAAAAATCATGGTTTGCTACATGCCTATGTGTACAAATTTCTTATCCTCTAGGGAGGAACTCAGAATAAATACATATCGTTAGGAAGTAACATGCATACTACAGTGGCTGACATGCCCAGTGCTTACTGTGTTTTAAGCCCTTGTCATGTCTTAACCTGATGACTCCCTGTAACAGCCTCATTCAGAAAAACCCCACAATTCCTGAAGTATCACTGAGCTTCAGAGGCTGTTCCATGCTGCTCTGATCATGCCACACTATTTCCAGAAAATCTGAGACATGCACCCCGGGTACATTTTATAAATTATGTACACATACCATCCTAGTTTATTATATTGTAAAACACACACCAAAATACATTTTTAAGTGACAAGGAAAAATAGAAACTAACATTTTCTTCAAGTACTCCAAAGATTGTCTTGCATTCTCCATATACAAAATAAGTGTTGCAAGACAGCCCAGTCCTTCCCTGGGTCTGTAAAAATTTTAGACAGGAGGTCATAGTTAAAGTACCTCTTAAATCATCAATATGCTAGTACTTTCTTCCCTGTACAACTGAAGAAAAATAAAATAGCGCTTAAACATCTATGAACTTCCATTTTCAGTTTAATGAATGACAGGAAGAGTTTAAAGTTAAAACATTAGAGCAACAAATTAATGATCAATCCAGCAAGGAATGTGATGGTTGCTTATGAAAGTAGGAGGAGGGAAGAAGTGAATTCAAAAGGAAACTTCAACTACTGTAGAGCCCCCTTTGACCTAACCAAGTGAAGATCCCTGACAGCTTTAGAAGTTATGTTTCATTGCAACAAAGGGCCTCTGAGGTGGGAAGATGGGTGAGATAAGTCTAGGCCACACTTTTGTGACAGTTGTCCAGGACCTTGATCCAACAGAAAGTCTTGGTCCACTCCTTTGCACTCAGGCCTCATACCAACAGCTGTTCAGGCTACCGGGCCACACTCTGGAGTCCCAGAGCAACAAGGACAAAGACAACATGCTTGAATTCTACCTGGCTTAATTTTTCTGGCCAGCAATGCAGGACTGTACATCTCTCCCATCCCCACCGTAGACCCATCCCACCTACAAACTAGCAAGATACACACAGAACAGTCCCTGGCTCACCTGCTGCCAGCTCCTAACCTCTGTCAGCCCAACGA